TCGGATTTTAAATAGTTTCCTGAAACTTCACAGAGGTTTGGTCACCACTATGACAACTAAAAATCCCTAAAAAAATCTTCAGAAGTAAAATGTTTTTTTTTCTGTTTTAAACTAGGAATGTCTGATAATATAGGTCGGCCGATATTATCGGCCAGATATTAGCATATTTTGTAAAAGTAAGAATCGTTTTTCCTCCGATAATGAAAACCTGATAATGCAATGCCTGGGTTTCGCCAATGATGTGTGCTCTAAAATGCCCCGGTGATAGACCAGTCAGATGCCTCAGTACTCTGAAGAACTTTAATTGAAACACAATTGCAGTAACTTGTTTTAAACTCCTTTATTGCTCTCAACCCAGCTTCTCCAAAAACTACTTTTCCTCCTCTCACACTCTTCGCATTAACTTCCACCACCATCCAGCTATATCGGCAAAAGTTAATATCGGACATCCCTAGTTAAAACTGTCACATCTTCCTCTCTTTCTCTCGCACTCTCTCTCTCTGCACAGGTGTGACTCAGGAAATCTGAACGGTCACTACTACAACGGGCCGTACCAGGCCATGACCAGTGATGGGGTGGTGTGGTACACGTGGCACGGTCTGTGGTACTCCATCAAATCTGTGGTCATGATGGTGAGAGCCGCTGAGCTCCAGCATCCATTGGTACGACAACTTGGCAACGAGGCACCAGGTGGTGCTGTTGATTCACGCTCTGACCAGTAAGCTAACTGTACATACCCTAGATTGGACAAGAATGTAGATTTGCTGCTTGGAGGGTGGAGCTTTGAGGGTCAGACAGGAGTGCTCCACTGATTTGGAAAATCATTCAAGTCGATGAAAAAATTAAGCAAATGTTTCTTTAACCAATAAAACCAGTTAACAATGAATCTGTGTCTTCTATTGAATATGAAGATAAGCGTAATTGTAATTCTCATTCTTATATTTTAGTATATATTTATATAAAGTTTTAAGACTGGTGGAATATTCTTAATGGTGTTTACGATGGTTTCAGAACTTATTTTGAGCTTTAATTTTTCGTAAAGATAGTTTGACAGTTGCCACTCAGGTGCTCTGAGCATGGCACCGTCCCCACACACTGCTCCCCGGGCGCTTAAAGCTGGCCACTGTTCACTTTGGTGATGGGTTAAAAGCAGAGGTCACATTGTGTGCTGTGTCACAATGACGAGTAGTTCACTTTCCTTGATAAAAAATAGTACAAATCCTGCTGAGAAATGTGTTATAAAACATTGTTCTGAATTTTTCGTAACAAAAATCCTAATTTAGCATGTTGTTTTTGGTACGATGTTGAAAAATATAATGAAATATTTTGAAAAATTGTTTTAAATTTTAACAATTTTATTTTGCCTGCATGATTCTCAATTAATTGAAGCATTTTGAGAAATAAAAAAGAAAGTGAAAATGGCAAAATCATAATTTAGCATGTATGTTTGGTAAGATGTTCAAAAAGACCATGGATTATTTTGCAACATGTTTTTCCATTTTTTTTCCTTTGCATGTTTCTCATCATTTTAGCACTCATCATTTCAATTATTCACTTGACAGCATGTTTTGGGGCATAATGGAGGCATTATTAAGATGGCACTGATGCTGACGGCAGCAGCCTCCTGATCACTCTACAGCACTAATCCATTTTTACCACTTACGCTTTACTTTTCCTACTTTTTCTTACTATGTGTATATATATATACATAATACTCCTTTCACGGAGTATTATGTATATATATATTTATATATATACAGTATATATATCTGGAATAACTATTAACTAAAATCTATTTGAATTTATTTTGTATTTAAATTATTTTATTATTATTTTTAATTATCATTTATTACTTTTGTAGATTTTCACCAATGAGCTTTTCTCTTACAGTCGTTTAAGCACGCTCTTTCTATCAAAGAAAAAAGACTAAACCAACTCAAAAAAAAAAAAAGAAAAAAAAAAGAATGTGAATGTCAGCGGTCAACTGCAGAGGGCGCGCTGATATTGGAACGTTATAACGTTGTATAACGGAAATAGAAATACGTTGCACAGTCCTTATTTCCGGTTGCGGATCCGACGCACGAGGCACCAGTGTTTGTCATTTGGGCTTCCAGTTCAAGTCAAATGGATACGGTGGCTGCATCTGATTGATTAAAATGGTGAGTTTTTTTTGTCGGTTGTATTTTGTTTGAAATGGTAGTCGTTCGGTCGAGACCGTTAGTGCAATTTACGCTAGCATGTGTTTCGGCAGCAAACATTAGCTTTTGTCAGAAGTTAAAA